GCTTGCCTTCTTACCTTCAGAAGTACTTGGTGCCTGTTTGTCCTCTAATTAAAAAATAAGTTCTGGCTCCTATAGCACCAAATCACAACAACAGTTGCCCCAAGGAGTTTAATATAGAAAGGAACAGAGAACAATACAGAGAAAGTGCAGGAATAAAATGTAAATAGTAAAACACCAGGAATAAACAGTACACAGGCGAAATATATACAAACAGGAGGCATACATACAAATCAAGTGAAAGGCGCACAGTAGAGGACATGGTAAAATATGTAAACAAGAAACTGTATGCAAAAATGTTGCTTCTGGTTGAAAAATAATATAAATTCTCAGCAAAAGAAAACCACACACTTCATAAATCTCTCTGTCCTCAGGAACAGAATGACAGGCTGCTGGTGATGTACCCATCGACCCTGATCATCCTATCAGAGGAGAACGACGGGCTCTTCTATAAGGTGAGGTTGACCCCTATCTGATGTTCACATGAGTCACAGGCTCAATGCAACATATTCAGAGTGTGCACGAGGAAGTTGTGTTAACCTGTTGCTATACAATTGCAGGGAAAACTTCCGCTCAACATGATTACAGTGACCACGCCCTGTCAAGACGTCAAGCCCAACACCTTCATGATTGAAGGTAAACACTGTGAATCAGCGCACTGCTCTTTAGTCATATCCATGTTAAAGAGATTTTAATGAGCCTGCATTCTTATGCATGTTTTTGTGCTAAGTGCCCTTTTCCATGAATCTGCTAGCGTCACAGAGTGTAACCCCCCCCCCCCTCCCATATGAATGAGCTGGTTTTATCCCTGCTGAATGACAATCTTGCTATAGCACATTCCAGTGAGCAAGTGGACCGAATGACAGGCTTTGTCCTCCCCTCCTCTCTTCCCAGGCAAGATGATCAACCCCATAGTGGTGTCCTGTCTGGACAGGACCGAGTTCTGCGACTGGATCCAGCAGTTCAAAGCTGCTGACGTGCCTGTTCTCAGCCCCCCGCCTCCCGTCTATGACATCATCTACACCCCGACGAAGACAGAGGTGAGGCCAAACATAATTAAACTGACCACAGCTGCTGTTAAGAGAGCTATCTCTTGTGAAAATATGGGTGGAGTGAATTAAAGTATGACTCTGGCCTTGCCTCTTTTGTAAACTAACACTCAGCATGATTATATACTTGACTTCCTCTATTTTTGCTACTGTGTTACCAATTTAACAGTTTACTGTAGGTCTAGACATGACCAAAGTCTGAAAGATTTATTCACAGTCGCTTGCTTTACATATTTAATGCGTGCTTTGTGCCCTTTAATCTCCAGGCCCCTCAGTTTGACAGGTGGAGTGGACACAGCCAAGGAAGAATGGAGTCTGTTAAGTCTAGCCGGCCCCCAAGTGGACGAGGATCTCGAAACCTTCAGTTCCCAATTCTCGACGAGAACCCTCTCACCCCTGGGTACTCTGAGCCCCGTTGTGTAAGTCGGCTGTGCGCTACTTCTCAGTCATGAGTGTTCAAGTGATCTAATAAACGTAATCGCACGCACCAATATTTGCACAGATATAAATATGGTCAGAGTTGTGAAAAAAAAAAGCCTGTGTTTGTTTTGTTGGAGCTGAGCAACCAGATGCTTTCTTTCACAAAGTTAATTATTAAGCAAGGTCTAGAGACCAAAGTGCTCCTGTTACAAAGGCTGCGGTGCTGATCCTCAGGCCTTCAGCAAAGA